TCTCTGAATTTTTAGGTCCAGATGCAACGGATTACTGAGCAAGGACGGGTGCCTCTTTCAGAAACATGGCATTGCTAGTGTGTTTTCTTTCCTCTCTTTTCTTTTTTACTTTTTATTTTGTTTACGACGACTCGTAGCGATTCGTTTTAACGCGACGACCATCGATACCGCCAGGAGTTCTCCTGACGTTTTTTTTTTTTTTTTTCACGTCACGCCATCGTATTTGTTGCTCCCCGTATAGGTTTCGTCTTTCCTCTGCCACTTTCTTTTCTCTTCACTCCTTTTCTTCTTCCCTTCTAATCCCACGGTGTGTGCATATTGTTAGAACATGAAGATCCTTAGGGAGATCGATCGATCGTTCGAACGATCGACGGCTAACGATATTCACTGTGTCGAATCTCGCGACTGGTTTCTCCCTCTGCTAATTGCAAAATTGAACTGAATCGGCGACTGGTCGCGATGATTCCCTGTTTCGCCATCCTCTCGAGAAAGAAAGGAATCGACGCGAACGTGTATTCGCACCGATACCTCGTCACGTTACCTCGATCTTATCATTGTGCTATATTTATGTAAGTTGTGTAAAATAAATTATTTGTAAAGTTCACTTTAATCCTCATTTCAAATCAGTCTATTCTCCTCTGTCATTTACAACCTTCGATCATCCTCTTCATTTGCATAAAGATAAATACACTACGAATAAAGGGATAATAATTCTTGGACATTCTAATGCAATGTTTACAAAATTTCTGTTCTGTATACATACATATGCATATAAAATGTGTTGAAAGTACATTATCACAGAGTGATGTAAGTGCGTTTCGCGTGCATGATGTACGCAATGACAGCCCATAATCCAGCGCCCCAAATGGCCTCGCATAAACGGAGTGCTCGGCTTTCCATGCTAGCGATGCTCCAATGAAAAGGGAAATTTTGGTAGCACATCATGTGGCCAATGTACAGCAGTAATGCATTCATACCTATGGAGAATATAATTTGTCGCGGTAGAATATTGAAGCCATAAACATGATATGATATATTTTGACAATTGTTTATCGTAAATCTATGTATATGTCTATGCAAGTCTATGAATCTGTTTTTAATGAAATATATGGCATAATATATATTCGAAACAATAACTTTTCAATATCCGTCTAATTAACGCGACTTTAAAAAAATAAAAAAAACGTGTGAAAATGATAAAGATTATGTCAACTACAAGCATCTTTTCGGTAGCATTAACTACAAAAACGAGTCTTAAATCGCGAAACCTGTTCGGTAATTGCATAATCTCGGGAAAGTCATACCAGGGATTCGGAAAGGTCCACCGTTCCACACTTTGACGACATCCACCAGCAAGTAGCATGCGGAGAGAAAGGCCAGGGAGAAAGATGTGGTCACAAATACAAATGATAGTGACCTGCATATAAAATAATCAAATTTTATATGATGTAACTGGCTCGATGATGCTCTTCTTCGCAGACGTACCATAGTTTCTTGTTGACGGGGATCACGTTGGTGAAATGAAGGACACAACCTATGCAGCCAAAGAACGCAGCCCATGTTAACCATCTGATTACGCGTTCTTTCCAGTCCTTGTAAGTCATCATGATTATGCCGGCGTGGAGGCCAAGAAAAACTTGGAACGCCGTGGTGAGAGTACCTTGTTAAGCAAAGCATCTTCGATTGCAAATGATTGTTTAAACATGGAGAATGGCGATCTTAGGGTGACATAGAAATATTTTAGAACTCTGAAACTTTGTCTCCTTGAAAAGGAAGATTGGGAAAAACTTTGCGCAGCAATTGCAAAATTTTGTCTCTTTCAAAGGAAAAGTTCAGTAAGGAAAACAATTGGAAATCTATCAAATAAATTTGTACAGTACCTAAAATCCCTTCTGGATCGTACGGTCCAGATTTATATACCGTAGCTGAATAGTGCAGATGAGCTTCTGTGAGTATCACTCTGTCAATATAGCCTGCTGCACCGCCCACGCAGTCAAAGTATTTCGCGTCGTCGTGAAGACCACCAGGCCCAAGGTATCCACTAAGGACAATCGCTTTTGATGCTTTCGTAAAGAGGGGAATTCGTTGAATTATACCTACATACGTGGGACATCCTGGAACGTGCAAGCAGAATGTAACGACACAATGAACGGCCACTATCACGAGCATCACGCACCATTGAGGAAGAAGTAGAAGAAAATCTTGCACTTCTCGTAACATTGGAGACTGTAAAAATGAAGTATTTTTTAAACCGATGTTTTTGAGAAGATACATATAGAAATCTTTCATCTATAGATATGTACACACTTACTTGTACCTTGCTTGATTTCCTCGACATGAAAAGGAAGTATAACAGGGCGACAACGAAATAAGTTATACCAAATCGTTGGAGAACACCGAATATACGAATGGTTTCCAGTTGAGGACCGCTGCTCATAGTGTTAACAGATATTCCAATTAGGAACAAAAGGATACTCCTCTGTCAAATAAAGTACAAACAAGTTAAAGTCACTTCTCCTAGAACAACAATACATTATTTCAGATCTTTAACTTTCTATACACGACTTTCCACGCTTGAATTCTACTTTTCCTCCGCAATTGTTTCAGTGCAAATTAAATTTTGTATTTTTCTCTGCAATTACCTTAATGATCCCATACAGTATCGTGCCTTTTGATGCCAGGCGTTTCATCTGACTGGACATCGCTATGGGGATACACATCCCCATGATCCATATGAAGCAAGGGAACAACAAATCCCCCGGAAGTAATCCGTTCCAAGTCGCATGGCCGAGAGTCTTATAACCGCCCGATCCATTGTTCACGAATATCATCAACAATGTGCACGCGCTGCAAGAGCAAACGTTTCCTGAATACGAGATTTGGATACTTTATATAGACTAAAAGAAAAATAAATGGTATGGCACGATTTACCCTCGAACCGTATCGATCGCCTTCACTCGACGTTTCGCCGTTTGTCTCAACGTAGCATCGTCCTCTCTGTTTTTCACATATTTCTCCCTGCACACGTGCCACAACGATTTCAAGCCGGACAGGCCGAATAAAACGAGTATCAGTACACCAAAAATGACAAAGAGCTCTGGAAAAATTGGTTTCCTTATCAAGAACATCGTTGAACATTGTTTTGCAGCCGAGATGCTATCGTGTTATTCAATAAATTAAATTCGATTTAAGATAATCGTTATCTGTAGCCATGCAGTTTAATAAACATTTGAAATTATCGAACTAATGTGATATTACTAGTCAATTTATATAACTGTTCCCTGTACTTTGATTTTGATTTGAAAAAATAGAATCTTGCCTGTGTAAGGATAAGTTGGCGCAATCAGAACCTTCAAGTCGCAGCTCCGATTTTGCACGGCAAGTTCATACACACCGAACTGTCCCAAATTCGGTGTCAGCTCGCATATCACGTCGCTGAAACGCGTAAGATCGTAAATTTACAGAGTGGATAAATTTAAGATACACTAAATCGCGAATGATTTCTCTCAGTACCTGGTATTTTTAGCGGATATAAATTCGCTAGGATCCTCGGCATCCACGATTCTGATGCTCGAGGATCTGACGGTATCGATCGTCACGGGAACACTCTGATTTATTACGATCTGGTTGAGCCTACTGTATGGACACTGCAATGAGACGATTTTCAATGGCGATTGAATTTTTACCTAAATCTTCGTTAAAAAAAGTTGACTAATTTCAAAATTTAAGAATTGTCAAGTTAACTCCATTTATTAATTCTTCCTGTGCCAGTGTCATCAATAAATTATTAGCTAACATTATGACGTAGTTTTTATCTCTTGAATCGAAAAACAATTCCAACCAATTGGAACATTCTAACAAGTTTCTCGTCTGTGTCATAAAAAATATATCGCTAAGCTGCTAATGTTTGTGCTAATGCAGTTTAAAAAGTGGCACTTGAATGCAGATATTTTTGCATATTCTACATTTCATTTATTTCATATACACTGTATTATATATTATATATCTCACATATTCTATTTTTGTATATTTAAGTTGTTTATCTACTATCATTCACGATTCCAATCAAAAAATGGAGTGTTTAAAAAAAAAAATGTGTATTTAAGAAAAATGAAATTCTTGAAAGATTTGTAAGAAACGGTACTGTATAGAAACGAGCAAGAATGCACAAAGCACGAAGCACATAAAAAGACCGTGTCCTTGCGTGACTCACCAGCGCGCAATCTGCGGAAAGCAGGTAAAACCAGACATTCGAAATTTCTGTGCGTAGATTGATGCAAGCCTCGTCGTATCCAAGGATGTATGGATCACAGAACCACTCGCCCGTCGTCTCCATGTCACGCTGCATGCAAAATAAACACTGGAGGGAAAGATCACGGTACACGCTTCGAAAGTCGCGCGAGGAATCATGACTGACTTAAACTCAACACGCATCCTTAATTTAAGAGAAAAGGTTTATCAGACGTTCTATATACGGCGGCCGAGAAAGTGGAACGCTAAAAACCGAATTTTTTACCGTGCGTTCTTCTGCCTCTTGCGGTAGATAAAAATGATACGATAAAATGATACAAACATACAAGTGATGAGAGAATTTGAATGGGAGAGATTTTTATTATAACTTGATACCTATAAATAAAATTCTTAGTTTAAAATAATACAAAGTTGTTAAAAATAATCGATACATTAGTATACTTTTTCTAGTTAGTGAATGAAGATGTTCTGAGAATCTTGTGACCTGTCTAATCTAATCTAATTGGGTCTTTCATCCAATATTGCTATGAAACAATCAAATTCACTAAAGACTTTCAATTAAACGCGTTATCGATCTTCCGAGAATATCTTCAAATATACTTTCATCTTCAAACATACCTCGCTCAATTAAAGAAAGCAAAAAAATAAAAACAAAATACCTTCGATATTGTTTCCCAGAATCACAATGTATGCATTGTAAGTGCAAGGGCCGTAAGGAGAGGAAAAAGTCGAGCAATCGTCACGGTACGAAAAGCGAAGAAACAATCGTTGCTACTTCACGAAATAGTCGATGCAAAGGAGGTGACTCGAACGTTAACTCGATAAATCAGAATTTCAACGGTAAATTACAATATGTATATATCGACGAACGTTTCCACGATTAAATATTGCGCGGCCGCGGTTTAATCGGTGTAAGCTGGCACGAGAATGGCGCGACAGCTTTTTAATATCGCGCCGTGTACCGGCAAACACACGGCCGGCTTGACTCGCAACGAATCACGTGGGTGCATTGACTGACATTTCACCTGGCATTCAAGAGGAATTTTACCTGGCCCCTAACCGAACCATCGCGATCTCTTGCAGCATCGGTCGCCTTGAAACCGACTTTTCATTCGACAGACTTTAGAATGTGTTTGCCGATCATCGTTCCATCGCTCATGGCCTACCAGATTGCTGTAATTCTTGTTAGTAACAGATGTTTCATATAACGGGACTTCTTGTAAGAGATTTTATGAAATGATCGATGCAGCTGGATCGCAATTTTTCGTACGTTTTTACAGCAATGCAAATCGATTGAAACTAGAATAATTGCCCGAAATGATACGAAAAGAAACTGATTAATTTGGATTATCTGCGCGCAGTATATAGTTTGTAGTATTTTTAAGCTCCGTTTAACTTGAAGTATAGTAAAATGTGAGATATATTATGAAATTGAAAATAGGGATCTAGACCTTCGAAATCGATACGCACGATTTGAATTTTGAAAAAATAAAATCTTAACATGCGATAATCTAATCTTTATAGTTAAAAACATTTATTCGCGTTATTACAATTACTGATAAAAGTTAAAAGACCAATAAGTTAATGATAAGTTCTATACAATACATATTAAATTTTTGTATAAATGTTGATCTTACTTTAGATCTTCTAGAAAGCTTGTTACTATTTCTAAATTAATGAAAATACACAAACGGCAATGATTGTGATCATTTTTAAGTTCCTTTATTTTGAAGCTAATTAAAATATTTTGACACGTATATATTGACACACAAATATTTTCACACACA